TTAAAACAAGCGCACAATAATTATTACGGTCACAGGGTTCAATGATCAATGAACGTCTCTTAATTCTTCACTGAAATAATGTTTTTTTCTAATACTCAATGAATTTAAACAAAGATGATAATTTTTTTCTTCGTTACTTCATATAATAGGTAACTTCTTTTGTATTGATGGAATAAATCTAAACACCTGATTTTAATGCTCATCAGTGTATAATGAAAATATGATGATGAATGGCATTGTTATTATTACTATTTTTTCTTTAATTTTTCCCCACTTCAATAAATCATATATAGAACATTCTCATATTACTGACAGTTATAAAAGAAATGTATACACTTCAAATAAATCACGTTGTATAATTATAATGATTGAAACATTATTAACAATAAATTCATTATGAACATGTATATTTTATACATACTTTATCTTTCATGAAACATACATGTATTATGTTCTTTTGTCTCTTTGAATTTAAATCGAATATTTGCTTTGATGAATAAACCTTGTTTTTTCCTACTCACTAATTGTTTATTCCATGAAGAGAATTTAAAAATAGAAATGGCGATCAGTGCTGTGAGCTGGGTCATTTTCTCACTAAGTCAATGAAAGAAACTATTATGACATGTGATTTTGGAGTTTTATCTCACCTACCTTTCCAAAAGTCTGTTGAGTTGTTCAGTTTTAAATTTCGATACGGATACCCAATCTTCTTGTAAATTAGACTAACCGGCTACCTCAGTGAGCAGACTGAGAGCAAGTAGAAAACTCTTCATAGTTATCTGAATCGACATGTATGTAAACATATTCATACATTTATCTGTCTGTTGGAAAATCAAACCGCGCATGGTACTTTAGAGACGTTTAACATTTCTTGTTCAGTCATATGTACTTGTTATTTGGCCAATTTCTAATTAACCCAATATATCAACACACATCAGCGTTCTCTGGGATTTCATGAACATATGTTCTTGTACTTTATTCCCTTTTTTCAATTAGTAAAAATTGCTCCTAGATTCAAACAAATAAGTCCTATTTGGGAGTAAGAGTTCTTTCTAAATTATCTTACCAATTAAAACTAACTAGTGTCATGTTTAATATTCAACCTTTTATTGAATAATGCTAGAAAGAATGTAGAGTGACCAAAAAGTACACACACTATGCATGGTTATCGACCATAATCTTGGGGGTAGTTCATGGTGAGAATTACTACCAGTCTAATGGAGGAACTTCCCGTTCTTCCATATTCTTTACCAAATTTATAATTCTGTGTTTACGATTTGCTGATTCACTAAGGGCAACGCCTAGTTAACGACACTCAGTTAAGGTATCAGTACCAGATAAAGTCACGACTTGCTACAAAATCCTTTCCCCACTCTAGATAGCTAGTTTAAAATTTTGTGATATTTGTATACAATAGTGATTTATCTGGACAGTACTCCGAACTTATTACGAATTCTAAATATCATACGTTCAGCTGTGTTGACAGGTTTATTTTCTCTAAATTGCATTATCATAGGGATTCTTAGTTAGAATATCAACTAGGCTACTCCTAATTATCGTATTAACTCATGTCCCTATACCTTTACGTACAACCAAGTATACGTTCCTTTAATCAATGATCACCTATCTTCCTTTTTACCTTCAGGTCAATGCATTAGAAGATACTTGATTACCATAGTCCGATTCACTTGATTTTCAAGGTCATACATTCAGTAAATGTGTAACGTAGATTTTGTAATACAAATGGAATGCATCCATGACCGGTTTTCGACAACTGTTGATTTTGCCTTTACCATAGTTTTATAGGAAGGTAAACCGATAACGTTCAAGGGTAACAACACGACACTTTGAAATAAGTAAGCGTCCGCTTTATTTCGTTATGAGCACTTGTAATCACATAGAGCAACTTCCCCAAAATATGAGCATTTACTCTGATTAATAACTAAATATAACCGCAGAGATTCGTTGGTTGTAAAACAAAATAATTTTCAATACTTTCAATTGATAATTAAGCAATGAAAGCTTATTCACGAGTATGATAAACGAAGGTACTGCATCAGTTTACGAATTCCGTGGAAATATTACCTTGTATGCGCTAGTTACTTTATTTTGACAGCGTATTTGGGTAACTGCTGTTAAGATTTGCAGTGCAAAATAATTCAAATCCTAATCAAGGTTACGAAGGGTATAAGGCACTGCGTTCTCATCGTTTTTAGTCCACCGCTACGAAAACCTTAAAAAATTACGTATGATTAGTATATTCATTCATAAATAATTCATTGGATGAATAAACAGGCACGTGCAAAATACCTCGCAGTAGTCAAGGCACTACCGCGCGAATTCAACAGATACGTAACATCTAGCATGTTTACTTATGATGTTTCAGAATCCTGCAAAACACTTAGACGATTTATCATTAAACGTGGAGACCTAGCCGATCGACAAAGGTTAGGCCAACTCCTTAATAACATCGACATGCAACACGGTTCTGCGACAGACATGTTGCAAAGAAGGAGATAGTTTATCCGCCAAAGAATTTTCGATGATGGCCTATTCAAGCAACTTTTCTTATCCAAACTTCCTCAACAGGTGCAAGCTGCGCTTGTCTCGTTTCACAACAACGCCTTAGACGAGCTGGCTGCATCTGTCAACCGCATTTTAGAAATCACGAAATCTTCTAATGTCGAGGTTTTTCAGTCGAAGAAAAGCCTCAAACGACCCAGAGTGACATAACAGAGTTATGTCATACACCTACGCGTTATCTTAAAGTTCGTAACGACCGCAAATGGTCACCCCCCCGAGAAGAGGCACTTCACGTAGGCAATCTGTCTCTAGACCACGGGAGACGGATAACCTCGCCTGGTACTGGTATCATAAACAGTATGGAAAGTCCCCCAGAAATTGCAGAAAACCCCGCGATTTTCCCAGCTCAACATCGTGCGACACGAAGAACAATTCGGGAAACTTCTAAGCCGGCAACCGTAGCCGGCGAACATAGCTGTCTGTCTTGCGTCACAGACGTGACAACGAGAGTTCGCTACCTCATCAATACTGGCGCAGACGTCGGCGTTCTTCCAACGAATTCTAAGAGCCGGCTCCACGAATTCGTTTTAAACATACAGGCGCAAACGGAAAGCCTTTCGCTACATATGGATCTTTGTTGTTGCAGATGTTTCTATGCCAATCATTGGTACAGACCTCATACAGCACTTCAATCTAATCATCGATACGCGCGAACGGAGGCTAGTAGATGGGAACACTAATTTATTTGTTTGTGTAACTTCTTTTTCCGGTTGCAGATTATCTCCAGTCACAATTAGGCACACGATAGACCCATCCTATCAACCACCACTCGATAAGTATTCTGGGATATACCAAACGCAAGCGAAATTGCCGTGTGTAACCAGGAGCGTTGCATATCACATGCATACCACCTGTGTTCTCTAAAGCACGCCGACTGGCCTCTCAAAAGCTTAGGTTAGCCAAAAACGAATTCGTTCACACGATAGACGTAGGAATCGTACGACCGTCAAACAGCCGATGGGCATCTCTGTTTCACATGTTCCCTTGAAGGACAACAACGATTGGCGTCCAACTGGTGAATATCGGCGACTGAATGCAAAAACTATTCCCGATCGTTACCCGTTGCCTCACATTCACGATTTGACAGCTACCTTGAAAGGTACAACTGTCTTTTCGTATTTAGAAGGAAATCCTATTCACGTCGATTTTCCTTCTGTACAATCGAACGACACGGCTCCTACACTTATAATACCTCAACCTACAGCCGACACACACGATGATACTTCGGCAGTATCACAAAATAAACTTGAAACAAGGCTTTCTGGAAGAGGAGTAAGATTTCTTGAACATTTGGACGATTACTGCACGTAAGATACTGCTTTGTGTTTTTACGCGTGTACAAGTGTATTTCGACATGCACTTACATATTTTTTTCTTTTCCAGGACGGCTGGAAAAGACGATAAAAAGAACGATGAAGTTTAAGAGGAACCAAAATTTGCATTGTACTTTTTCGTTTTTTACTATATTGTTCTTCATGGTCCCTTATAGTAAGGATAGATGACCAGACGCTGCTAAACCCAGCAAGCTATCATAAGAGTGTTTACCAACGACAATCTCGTTGGGTTTAAATTTCTAGCTGTCCACGTCTTAAGGTCTTCACGACACCACTAGGAGGGAGAGTAATCCGTAGTGGTAAACAAATCCCGAAAATAAATAACTCTGTAAGTTTTCGAAATTGGATGCTGGCCACATTAATTTTAATGGACTCACCTAGCTGAAGGCGCTCGATCATGCATCCGCACCAGATCACGAGTGGGAACGCCGTGCTCAACAACCCCTGCAATCGCTAGCCAGACTAGATCAGACGATTCTCGATAAATTGATAGTCTATAAAATATATCTCCGAGCTTCCTCAATTCTGTCTTCTGATTTCACTTGGTGGGTACGACTCATGCTGTGTTACTGGTTAAAGCGTTATCAAACCCCAAATACCCGTGGCATCTCCACTATATAGCAAGTGGAACCATTAAACGTTGTCATGAATGGGCGAAAGAACTGCTCACGGATGAAAAATTATGAGTCTCAACCCACTTTACAGTACATGTAACTTGTACTCAAGACACAGCTCTGCATACCTACCATGTCATCGCGAATTGGTACAAATGCTTGATCTTGTGCCTTCAACTAGGCCTGTGCACGATGAAACTAATGTCGATAAGTCACGAAACTACTCAGTTTGGAAACTTGTTCGAACCTTCACAATTTTTCATATGAATAATTGTTACTGAGATGCCATATCTTTAAAATACGTATAATAATTACTCATCTCAGCTGAACTATAGGTGTAAAGTTGCTTCAATATAGTTGAATATTGCCCAAACCTTGAATAACGGAGATAGTAATGTAAAGAATTTAAGTGCTCATGCTAGTTTGTCACACGGGTATTGGATATTGAAGATGTCTCCGACCTTCGTAACAGCACTAAGGTTCGACCTTCAATTTGCTACCAACCTTCATCGGTGGACGATACCCTTGAAGCGTTGCATAAGGTTACTCGATATCGGTTTTATGGGTTTGGTGTTACCCGGAAATGTACTGTAGAAGTATGCGCCCTGTGAGTCGTTCTGTACACAGAAGTGGCAACGTAGTTGGTATGGGGTTATTAAGATCTAAAGGGATGGTTATACTGGCTGGTAACTCTCACCCTGAGTTAGTTAAGGCTGTTTGTCACCATCTTGACGTTCGTCCTGGGAACTGTTCAGTATTTTTCCGTTCAAGTCGCGAGACGGATGTTGAGATTAAAGAAACTGTCAGGGGTAATGTTCTTTTTTTGTTCTCCCTAGTACTTAGGCCGAGATGTCTATATTATACAATCAGGAACTAAGGATGTCAACAATGACATTATGGAGCTATTGATTATTGCTCATGCATGCAGATCAGCTTGCGCTCGTAAAGTCATTGCAGTAGTACCGTACTTACCTTACTCAACACAGAGCAAAAGAAGAAAGCGTGGCCCTATCACCAGTAAACTTGTAGCTAAAATGCTCTGCGCTTCAGGAATCAACCACTTGATCACTTTGGACCTTCATTCAAAAGAGATTCAGGTAAAAGCTTGACTGATCATTGGGTTTTACAGTTTTGAAATAGTGTTTCAGGTTTCAAGAGTATGTCAGTGTTGGTGTTATCATTTATTAGATTGGTTTACTAGGTGTTTTATTAATATGTAGGTTTTGATGGAATTTCGTGCTCTAAGCTGGATGGTTCGGTCGTGGAGCTTCCGTCGTTCTTCTGAATGACATCATCAGCACAAGCTTCCATCAAAATCACCCACTTGAGCTACAAATCCCCACCATCTTAATAGGTGAGTTTTCCTCCGACCACAATCGACTATGGTTACTGAGTCATTGGGATATGTTTATTTTGGAATTTACCTGCAACCTAAATATTTTTCAAATAAGTGGCCTGGCTGTCAGGTACTCCAGGAGTGTCCACGCAATAAAGGATTAATGGATTACTTCAAAATATTCAACTGATTTAGGCATATCTAACAAGCAAACTTGTATCCATATCGACGTTAAAGCTTATTTTTAGTGTCCGACAAACACCATAATTACCTTTTAAATCTCAATATACAGTGTTAGAAGTATCCATATAAAAGGTTTGACACCATAGGTGATCCCTTCTTAACGTATAGAGAACAGGCTAACCCATCATGAGGTGTAATCCTGTTCCTCGTAATACTAAGAATTCCTGGACAACATACAGGCTCCATTTAACTATCAAAAAGATCGAAGTTCGGTTGGAACTTTTCATGATACTTCTAGTTTTAGATTATATAGTTGAACTTATTTATTAACAATTGGTTTTCATTTTTTTGTTGTAAATGTTATAAATAAGAGTGCAAGTGTTTTTAATAAGTGGATGAGATCAGCACTCCTATTACTTTATGGTTTATTAAAGACTTACACTCAATATCTCTGTGAATTTGAGTGATGCCACATAGTCCTTATTTTGAGTCAATTCGTAGCTATTTTTACTACTGCCTGTCACTAATTACCCACAGTGTTATCTATTTGTTTACTATCCTCAGGGGTTTTTCGATGTTCCGATTGACAATTTACGTGCTTCTCCGTTTTTGACAAAGTACATTGAAACATACATAACTGATTATCGAAACGCAGTTATTGTTGCTCGAAATCCCGGAGTAGTACCTCGAGCTAGCAGTTATGCTGAACGTTTGAGGTTACCATTAGTTGTTATTCATGGCGAAGAAAGAGATGAAAGTGACAATACTGACGGTCGCAATTCCCCACCTTTGGATCAAAGTATTGTGGAAAAAAGGTTTGTTATGCAAGCGTTTGCTTCTTCATTGTAATATTTGTAATTATGCCGAAATATTCAAAAAATCTACTGATTACTTATTCTTTATACGATACATGTTCCTTTGTCTTTTTGTAAAGTGGAGATTGAAATAAATCTATGGTGTTATGCAATGAATATATAAAGGCAAATGAATTTCATATTTACAGTTAATTGGATTCAAATAATTTCGGAGCATTTACGTATTTTCATTACTGGTATAGAATTGGTTTCCTTTTTTAAGAAACCTATGTGAACACCTTAGGATAGTCACAAAAATATGGTTTCACTAGGGCAGAAAATGTGTTATTACTAACCAGTTCATCATAATAGTTATCAAATGTAACTAATGAAAGATCCACAGACAATGCGACAGACTTGTGCACTATATAAGTCCGTGGTGCGAACTCAGCTGCGGTCCGAGTTCTGTTGTAACGTGAACTATCTCTACTCCTTGTAGACTGGTTTTAGTTGGTTTCTGGTCTTTTTTTGGATAGCATTTTCAAATTAAACAGGTGTAGACAATTCTAAGTGGCTGAAAAGATACCTTGATTTCAATTTCTATATCACAAAATTTACTGGTAGGGTAACTGCAAACATGAGTTTTATGCATGTTTAGTAAGACTTTTTACTCAGGAACTTACTCTGGTTGACCCACGGGTTTAAAGGAAAGCAATCGAGTGGTCAACTCTGCTAAAGATTGACTTTTGGAAGTTCTATAATCTCTAATGGGACTGTTAATCCACAAAATATCAAAGTGAATGCACAATTGGTTTGGCACTGGTCAACCCGAAGTTCTGGTGTATTATTTTGATGCCTATTATGTGTTGAATATGTAGCTCATTTATTTTCTGTATCCTGTCTTACACTTGTAATACGTGATGAAACGGACCATTTAGATGAAATCCGTTGGTTGAATGTCTCCCAAAATAATAACCCCAGCTGTAAATAAGTATGAAGTAGATTTTGAGTTGCCAAAATATACATCTAAGCTTCAGGCTTTTTTTCCAACTATCCAATCCCAAACTGAAATCCTTTTCAGCCGTATTACTTATAGCACAAGAATGATTATCATATTAAGGTCCTGCAAGATCTATTTCACAAAACGAAGTGACTGTAGAGTGATAAAAGTGAAATCACACGATAATCTGAATACACAAAATAAAGGATACATTTCGCATTTAACACTGAATAAATTTAGTTTCTATCATCTGTAGATGTACACAAATTGGCCTTGAACTTTTACCTATGATGATACCTAAAGCTAAACCACCTTTAACCTTGGTTGGAGATGTGAATTCAAGAATCGCTATTATAATTGACGACATTATAGATGATGTATCAAAGTTTGTTACTGCTGCTGAGCTACTGCATGAACGAGGTGCATATAAAGTAAGTTTTTATTATAGTTTACCATTGTATATTAAAGGCTAAAGCCTTACAGTTATGGTGGCTATTAGTTATTCTCACTAAAAGTAATTTTATAAGCTAATTTTATAGAATTGCTAGGCATAATACGTTTTAATTTTCAAGTAGGGATTACAATTTTTAGTCTTTTAAGTGTTCTTAATTTCATTCACAAAGGAAAATTTAAACGTTAGCGAACTTTAATAACTATCACAAGATATATTTGTTAGCTTGTATTTTGACGAAACGAGTTTTAGATAAGTTAGGACTTTTGGGATTATTCAGATTGCTCTTATCCATATTTTCATTGTGGGTTTATTAAATGACTGAACTACTATGTTTATATTACCTTTTTATGGGATTTCTTCGAATGTATCAACTGTCGTTACACGCTTTGTTATTCCTTGACTTATCAGACGTTTATTCCATCCTCTGACACTTATGAGATGTTTATATGTAAACAATGACTTCTTAATTGTGGTGCTTTCCGGTCTGATAATCATGTACGTGAACTAATTAGTGTTTGGGATAAATATATTGGGTGCTTGAAACATAAATAAAAGCTTGTCTGTTTTTTTATTAGACTCAGGACGAGTGTGTATTGATGGGCCAATAGGAGTTAATATTACCTCGACCTCAACTCAACATTAATCGTACCAGCCTAAGTGTTTCACTGATCAAAGCCTAGGAAGCTAAATTATAGATGAAGTAGTACACGTACATTAAAGAAATTCACCAGGATCCTGTTAATCGACTCTTTCCAAGATGTCGACTAAATTTTTTCATACAAGTGTTCGTCATATTTCTAATATAGTAATGGAGTATTGCTAACTACATAACTACATGGAGTCAACTTATCCCCCTTTTATGTGACATTGTACAATAAAAAATGTTTCACCACACAATAATTCTAACAAGCATACTTATATACAACGTAACTGTTACTTTTCTTGATCAAACCAGTTCTAGATTACTCTTAACAAAACGACGGTTTATCAGGCATTTAAATTTCGACTTTTGGTGTTTATTGGTTAGATCGATCATTCTGCCAGAATCAACGTAGGATCGAACACAAATGTACCTAAGGCCAAGTTACCATTCTACGTCAGCACGACGAGATGAAATAAACAAGATTAATACCAATGGTGTAGAAATAATTGTATTCTCAGCGGTAGTGAGGAAGACTTACCACTGAAAATATAGTTCGAAAAGACAGTGAAAAGATGCTTATGAGGAAGCACTTGGATTCTAGATCTAATGGAAGAGTGGATGTATCGGTTGTACTGTTATCGACTCCAAACAACGTCACTCAAGATTTCAAACTATTTGTCTCTGTTATCGCAAAAACCTTCAACTAGGTGGGTTGGATCTTAAAATATATAGCTCAGACTAATACTTATTTCATGGAATTACGCTTATTCGTATATGGTCTATTGTACCTCGAGGTAGGCGGTAGCTATGCATATGCAAAACATATTCCAACTACCTCACTCAATAAGGATTCACAGCCTTGTCAACTGATTTCCCTTCTCTTTTTAGTACCCTATGTTTAGCCTCAGTATTGCTTAATCGCTCTAACCACTATACTGGAGCAAAAGTCCAAAAATGCCTGTGACAAAAAGTCACCATATAGATGTCGTCTTTCATATGCCATGCTTTAACTCCATCAAACAATACAAAGCGGACTCCTGCACATTATATTCAAGTAACAAATTAATTTCACAGCAGCTATCAGAAAACAAATTGGTAATTTTTTTGCATTATGGACAGGTCATACTTGTTTTTGATCTGGCACTTTTGGTAGATCGGTTAATAGAATTGTTAGCATTCATCGACCTAGATGATCCGTATGTAATACGTATGCCCAACCATTACCTATCCTCTTGAGCTATCCTGGTTCTCTAGATGCTAAAAATCAATCGAAACTCTGGGTGGAATAACTGTCTTCTCCATTTATTACATGAAATTGCGAAGGTTCTTGACAAATTAGACTGAAGAATTTATGAACAGGGCCCTCTCTTGTTTTTCATTCTCTGTGTAGTTCAACTGGAGAATGTTTATTTTCTAAAATTATTTTATTGTCATTTGTAGATATTTGTTATTGCAACTCATGGTCTGCTCAGTTTAGATGCACCACGTCTATTGGAAGAAAGTCGTATAGATGAAGTAGTTGTAACTAACACAGTACCACATGAAGTACAAAAAATGCAGTGTCACAAAATTCGTACCGTTGATATAAGTCCATTATTGGCAGAAGCTATCAGACGTATTTATAATGATGAATCTATGTCTTATCTTTTTATGAATGTACCTAAAGACGATTAAATCTCTTCTTTTCTTTTCACATTTGTTGGGAAAAAGACAACCTTAAATTATTTATCATTTAAATACTAATTAAAGTTGTAAAATAATAGAATTAATACTCTAATTCATTTACTTATAGTCGTATTTACAATCAATTCTTTCCTGCCATTAATTAAATAATAAATAAGTTTTCGTTTTCCTAACCTGAAAATTGTACATATTTAGCACACGTTATGGTAAGTACTGGTGATCTAGCTCAACACTAAAATCGTACTGGTTGTGTTCTTTCACAAAAGCTTTTTCTCTCAATCCTAACGTGATAGTTCGCTTATGCTGTCCTATGAATAAAGTTGGCATTCTAAACATCGTGTTTTTTCTTGGTTATATTTTATGTGCAACAACGACTTCTGACTCGCTAATAAATTGTTATCAAGAAGTGGGGTTATTGTTGTGCTATAGATGAATATGTAAGACATCTATTCGATTTGGTTTTCTCTGCTTGGTCACTTGTCGATTGAGGACTGGAGAAGTGGTTAGATAAAGCAGCTGATGATATATGTTAATGAATCTAGTTGCTACCTCCATGGCCAGCCAGGCACCTAGTCGAATACCTTCATCAAGCAGATTGTTTTGATTTAATGCAAATCTATGCTTTTGATGTATATACCAATAGGTATTGAGGTTAGTTGCTATCATGGTCAGTGGCAAATTGACGGATGACTGGACTTTCAATGGTGCTTAGACAATTAAGTGTCAATAGACACCCGTTTACTCACAATTGATCGATCACTGGGTGGTGGTCAATGTCATGTGTATCAAGTCCTTCTTAGTGCAGATCGAATGCTATCGACAATGTTGCAATGTGTCCACCAGTTTAGGTGACTCGACACTGCGTACACTATGTTGAGATTAGGTGGTGTTTGGAGGTAGTCGACAGGAAACCCTGCATACAGGTTTTGTGCTACTAACTACAAACTAGAACTAAAATGCAATTAAATGTATAACTTTAATCCATCTGGTTATATGACGAATACAGCTTTTATCAAATTTATATAACCTTTAATTTCCTCATTGGTAAGCAGGATACTCGTAATAATTCCATCGTATTCAGCCTGGTTGTAGATCCTATGAACACAAATAAATTACAAAAGGCTTGTCTTTTGTAAAACATAACATCGAACAAATTCGGCATTTGCATCAAAGTATGAAGAATTGTTACGAAATCTGATATGTAGCGGAAGTGCATCAGTGTTCCATGAAGACTAATGGTTGAGCTTTAACTGGGTCATTAATTAATTTTTGGATTGTATGATCTTAAATTCGGTGATTACTGGGTACTTTTCCAAGTATCAGATGGCTGTTTTCATTTGCATAGAGGTCTTGGGAATCAAATGTTTTGTTCCGATTGTCTCTGATTATGAAACTAAGTTAGGATGCAAGAGGCTTAAATGAATAACGATAAATATATTAGTTTATTATTCATTTTATTATTACTTTCTCTATTGTTTATTATTAAAATGATTAGAAAATATATTTGAGAAAATTAAGCCTAGAAATCGACACATAAAAAAGTGCAATTCATATCGATCGAGGTTATTAGGTTTTGAATTAAATCTACAGAACATTTTCTTTGCATTACCATATAATATGTACAAGTTTTGTTTCATTTGAATCACGGCAGGCAAATTAAAGAAATGATCTTAACCTATTTTAGGGAAATCGAAGAATAGTAGACTACCAACTGGTTAGTTGGAAAAATACATTATTGTATTCCATCTCAGTATGTGAAAGGTATCATGACTAGTGTAATATCTGACAGTCCTAGGTTCTTTTATTCACTATGCGACCATGAGTATACGTTGATGAGACGTTTTCATTCTGGTCTTTATTAGTTTACGAGCAAGCATTGGCCAACAATAAAAAGTTACTAGGGAGATATGATATTCTTTACAATATGTTTTGTAAATAAATATGTTTAATGTAATCATTGCGTGTTACCTCTTGAAGAAAATATTCATGAAGGATGAATCTATGTAAATCGACTGTTGTTAAGTTTAGGACGGCAAATATTTACACTTGTTACCCCTGATGGGGGAACACGGGCTGCCCGTCGCACGAACGCTTAACCTCTAAACATTCGTGTTTAACTATTGACTACAAATTTATTAGTTATCGAGGCAATTTGTTCCATATTAGAATCATCATCTGTCCAACAACTCATTTAAATCATATTTCCACGGTCATTATTTGCTTTGTTCCTTTTTCAAGTTAAACAAAAAGCTTAATTGGAACAATGGTCACTGAAAATGTTAGCATCAACTCTGAATTTGCCTATCAAAAACAATATTAAGTATATACAATTAATTCTTCAATGAGTAGTCGCCGATATCATGTCTGTCTAATCCTTTTTAGTGGTAGTCGGACTTTATCGTTAATGTCGCAACTTGATCGGTAAATACACAGTTATCAATTAGTTGTAAATATCTCACCCCTACAAAAGGTTAGTTGTGACTCGAATAGCTCACTGATAACAGACTGTGAGGTTCGTTGACACGAGATCGATTCCGCTAAGGACACCAACTCCCTCTAGATTACAGGTATGCCTTGCTGATGAGTCCCGAATAGAACGAAACTTATGTCTAGGTTTCCTGTTGACTGCGTCCAACCACCTAATATCTCAATAATGCAAAATCCACGAGGTATATTTATTTTTGCTAATTTTTCTGTTAACTGTCACTCCGCTTAATCGTTTACTAATCATCAGTGTAAAGTGGAAAACCCAAGCCCTCATAATCAACAGTATCCGTTGAATATATTAATAGTTATGATGATTTAGTAGCCTGGTGAGTGAAATCTGGGCATTTAAATGGGCTAGGTACTGAATTAGAGTTGGATTGTGAATAACAATATTAGGATTCAGGTACGTCTAGCTGCAGAAAATCACAACTATGTGACACACGTGGATCCTACTATTAGTCACCGTTCAAAATATAATTAATACGTAAATTCGGTTCATCTTTTAATAACACTCATAAGCTAATACAGACTGATCAATTCGACTTTGAATATTCACAAAATAGGACTACATAGCTTTATAGTTATTTTGTTATTGTATAGTTATTAATTTTATTTATTCGGATTCGACTTTCAAATAGCTAAAGGTTAGATCATTAGAATTGATCACTTAAGTATTAATCTATTTTAAGAATGAACATAAAACTTACAAACTAAACAAAATCAATTTCACAAATAATTGCTCTACCCACTAAAGATCAGTCAACATTAGATATTTGAATCATATTTCAATACATTAATACAACTTGGTAAGTAACTAGTATAAATTGTTACCAATCTGTATAACAGGAAGAAATTAGATAATAATAAGAATTAATTAAATAAAATGAATCTGTACAAATTTTTGTGTAGTTGTTGTTTCAATTCATTAAACAAAAGAAATGATACGATTTATTCTAGAGAATTTAAGTGAACACAGAAAAATATGATAAAAGCATATGATAATTATATTGTATCTATGATCTGTTCGTTGAAAAATGTTCAAATCTTATTCAATATATTTTATTCTATAAACCTTATTTGTGTGTATTTCGATAAAACACGATAATGTGACACATAATATTGACCTTAGTATTGTTTGTCCGTTTTAATTAATATTATGGATTGTTTTAGAATAGTAGTTGATCCGTTTTAATCATTTATATTATGATTCGAGTAATATTTAATTGTAGCCTAATGTTTTTGTAAAGGTGTTACTTTGCATAACAAAAAAAACTTGCATAAATTGATCCTAGAACCTTAATAAACAAGAGAATCTAACTAGTAATTAAACAAATAGTTATTTCACATAAACTACAATAGCACACATGAATGTTTAAAAAGTGTGCTCCGCTATAATTAGACAGTATTCTCACAACTGTGATCTTTCATTGTGAACTAAAGTGAATTTTAACGGCTATGGAGTTTCGTGGTTTCAGACAGTAGATTTGTATTTTTATCATTTGAACTTACATATTGGATTGTTCATTTACTAAGCATCATCGTACACTTCACCCTGTTTTCATCTTGAAACTATAGTAAAATGAAAGAGTTAGGCTTTAAGCACAATTAGACATTCATTTCTCGATATAAAGATTTTTTTCCTTTTAAGGCTAATTTTCACTACAGACTGGAGATCTGATGAAGAACAGCTGGCTGTATACAACTAAACTATCTTTGTTTAAAATTCCCTGACAGAGTTTACACGTAACCTATACGAAATTTAAACTAGGATTTTCTTGTCATCCAACTATTACGACAACCTGACACCACGGAGTTTAAATCTACTGCCCAAATCTCTAAATTTAGTTAATTCAGGACATAGTTAGAGATATCGTACTCCTATAGATGACAACTATCTAACTGTTGACTGAGTTGATTCCATGTGTTATTGGCTTCCCCTTGAAACTTAAGAAAAGTCCTATCGAAACTCATCACTAACGAACAAACGATTATTGTCCAGTCAGAAGAATTAGAGATGTGAACCAATTTGAAAGTAGTTCTCGTTAGTGAAACCGTCACAAACCAAGGAGCTTTAGTCAGCTACTTTATTTTAGTTCGGTGCTGATTAATCTACGGGCTTAAGTTGAAACTACTGAACCGCCGAATTCCACGTGACTTGATATTTTGTGGTTCAATCTCGTATGAAATGGTTGGTGCGTATTGATGAGTAATCAGAAATTCTGACTTAAAACCACACTGTTACTCCGTATTTTTTTAAAGGTTCTTCTTCAGACATCAGTCCGTAATCATAACTATCTTCCGGTTGAATAAATCTAAACAAACCATACAACCAAGCTCTCTAGTTATATTTAGTCCCAAAGATTCATTTTACAGTCAAAAATTTGTTTAGTAGAATATTGTTCCAAGGTTATTAGAATTTAGACTAACCTATTTAAGCAATAGTCACCCAATTATAAAGCAATTCCTATTATTATGCAAGTATGAAATAATAATCAACTTTGATTGTTAGATTTTAGACTGATTTTCTCAGAGATGATAAGTGAGGCTATATATGTTTGACTGTTATCAAAGTTAGAGTCGACTGGTCAGACTACGACTATAATGGGATTGACCAATAATTGAATTCGATGTATGATCAACAAAATAGATTTGATAGTATGAAATATCGATATTTTAAAATGGTCAGTTAAATCATTCAAGTAAACAACAAAGAAGTTCACCTAACGGAGAAAATATTTTTCTAACCAGTGTTATGAAAAATGAGAGTGAATGAGCATGGAATATTTCGTAACCCTTATATATATATTAGTAAGTAATCAAGTATTATTCTTTTATACTACTGTGAGCAATTTCTCTGTCGAAAACTGAATCGACAACGTTTATTACCTATGCTCGCTGGTAGGAGCTCAAGTCTTACCAG